CCCCAAAACCCCAAAACCCCAAAACCCCAAGAATTGCCAAATTATAATTATTCTGATGATTAAAACATATCGGATAATATTTTTAAAATAGAATACTGAGGTAATAAAATAAAATGAAAACTTTGAAATCATCACAGAGCAGTCAGCAGCATTAACAAAATTTCGATTTACAGGCATCTTAAAAAAAGAAACCGTTTCCTGAAAGGAATCTCCACTATACCTCAAATAATTCAGTTCTTCCACTTTTAAATCCTGCAGTCTAAATTCAAAATAGACAATCAGATTTAATGCAAAAAAATAATAGTCATCTTAATCATAGCATGCAAATAGGCTCAAAATAAAGCTAATTCAGAGACAACAAGAGTAGATACTAATAAAGAGATGGATTAAGAGGCATTTCTCCTCATAATGATTTTGAATCTGGCATATCCTTAAAACCAAACTAGATACTTGATCCTATGGAATTCAATTAGAATGCTTAAAAGCTTACTCCAGCTGGAAAGGCTGTGCTTAAGTTTCCATAAACTCAAACTAACAACAACTTACTCGTGTAAGATTAAGAAAGAGGTGATTACTTGATTAATAATCTGAACTATTTCCAGCCAGTTAGCAACAGACAATTAGGATTATATTCGTTAAGAGCTTCATCACAAATTAAAAGACCTGAATATAATCACAATTATGGAAGTCTTATTAATCAATAAAATCATCAGTAAATTCCATTGAACTATTTATAAAATGGCAGTAGATCTTTATTAGACTAAACCTCTTCATAGCCTCATCTCCAAAAGTTCAGTACAAATATGTATGATACCAAATCGAGAGTACTTGGCTAAAGATTTAGTGTGAATTCTTCAATAGATGAACTTCATAATAATGGCTTGGATCTCAATAATTGAAATATTAACTTAAATATGATTAAGAGAGAAGAAAGTCCATTTTTAAAGGAAAATATTAATGATTAATTAAGAAAAATGCAACCTGGCTTAGAATATAATTAATAAGACGAAAAAAATCCTATAAACAATGATTACTTGTAAATGCCCTAAGATGAGTATAGCTTAAATACAAATAATCATTAAACTAAAACTTTTGATCATTCTTCATCAAATAATTTTATTGAAAACCACCTCATCAGCAATAACAGCAAACCTCATATCTAAATAAACTCACTTCTAAATAATTATAACTCTAATCACAACCAGTCAGTTGATGTCTTTGAAGAATAATAGCCAATAAATTAGTTAAATAAATTTAGCCCTTAAACATAATGAAAGCAGTAAAATTAATCATTTCTAGACAACTATCAAACCGATCAGGATAAGTTTTATCTCGAGCAATAAAGATTTATGTAAAAAATGAGGTAAGCAACAGAGAAACAAGATTAAATATTTTAAACCCATCTTCAAAGAGTATATCTACCTTATAATGCGAAGTAAATTCTTAATCAAAACAAAGAAGAGGATAAAATTAATGATTTTTAGAAAAAAAATATGACTCGATATTAATTGGACTAATAAGAATTAGTCAATAGGAAACGAAAATATCAGGAGACTCTTGAAATGCAACTTAAATCAAAGCGAGATGAAATAGACTATATGAAACTGGAAAAAGACAGACTTAGAGGTCAAATTAAGGAGAGAGCTGATTATAATCGGAGTCAAGAAATGCAGATGAAGGAATTAAGGATGGGCTAGCAACGATAATATAAAAAGATGCTAGATGATCAATCTATGTAGAGTCAAATAATTTCTATGGCTAGGCTAAATTAACAGTATATTAATAGTAGCAATGACCTAGGTTCCAAGTCACAATCAAGGCAGACTAATCAATATAAGACTGATAACGAGCTATTGAATTTTAAAGATTACGCTCACTGATTTTAAATTTAATTTTTTAAGAAAAATCTGATCTTTATTTTCAACATTTACAATGGGGTTTTGGGGTTTTGGGGTTTTGGGG